TCGAAAAAATCAATGTGATTACATAAACAGGTTCTCTATAATAGTGCTGCGAAAGCGAACGCGACTTTGCGAGAGTTGGCATTTTAAGGTCTTTTTGATTGAATGACGCGTAAAACGAATACTTAGTTATAAAACTTTCAAGAAACAATGATAGACATGTGACCGTTACATCAAAAGACGCGTAATGTACACGAAAATTTCAAAAATTCAAAAATCAGCTAGACTTTTGATTTATATCACCACGGCGTATTCGCAGTAAGCTTTTTTTTGATTTACGCCGACACGTTTTATACTTGATAATTTCCTAATTTCATCTTTAAATATTCACAAAGATACAGTATAAGATATTCGTTATTTTTTGTAATAAAAAATAACACGAGTCTTCTTTGCAGTAATATCACGACTAACCATTATTACAGGATGCCGAAATTCAAAAGAAAGAGTTATTATGCCGTTGTTAGAGGCTATAGTTCTGGATTATACAGTAATTGGGAAGAATGTCAAAAGCAAGTACAAGGCTTTCCTGGGAGCTTGTTCAAAGGATTTGATAGCAAAAAAGATGCCGAAACCTTTCTGAATGAAAATTTAAACCAAAATATCGATCGCGATTATGCCATAAATTCCATTTTAAAAAAGCAGAATAATCCTCAACAGCAAAAGCAACAACATTCATCACCACCCTCATCTCCAACACAACAATCATCGACACTTCCACATGATGATGGACAATTTCTTCTTTCTGAACAACAACAACAACAACAACAATGCACAGGATCTTATGAAAGTCAAAAAACTCCACCTGTCCAATCCATGCAAGATAGTGAACCTGATCTTTCTACATATAGTAATGATATTCGCGGATTTCGTGCCATTCAACCAAAAACAAGTACTACCAAAGTCCTTTCTCGTAAGGAAAGATGGTCGGACGAAGAGGATTGGGAACCGGTTTCAAAAAAACGTGTATTAAAAGCGAAGGGATATAATAATATTGAACAAAGGTCTATTGTTCCACAAAAGAACAATGCATTCCAAACAGCAAAATCATTATATCTCGATCAATCGAATGCTGAATTTGATCCTTACGCAGAAGATGAAAGTCCAGGTAAATGGTCCGATGAAGAGGATTGGGATCCTACAATAAAACAACAAATTATTGAAGCGAAAAAGCATCATGATCCACATCATCTTAATACAATACCACAAGTTTCGTCTACTGATGATATTGAACTGACGGAAGAACAGACTCATGTATTGGATCTTGTATTGAAAAGCCGGGAGAACGTATTTTATACTGGTTCAGCAGGTTATTCGTAATCGTTTTTTAACTATATTTGATAAACATATAAATATAAGTGTTATTAATGCTTCATTAAATTAACAATAGGAACTGGTAAATCCATTCTACTTAAAAAAATAATTAATGAAGTTAAAAAATTATATGGTCCGGAAAATGTTGCAGTGACTGCGCCAACAGGCATTGCTGCAATAAATGTTGGTGGCATGACGATTCATTCTTTTTCGGGGATCGGAACTGGTGATGATAAAGCTGAAAATTTATTGAAAAAAATTAAAAGACGATCATTGATCCGAGATAGATGGAAGAGTATAAAAGTTCTAGTCATCGATGAGAGTATGTATTTGCTACTAATCGTATTCTATACAGGAATACTTGTTTTATTCTTTAAACATAATTTTTTTTTGATTTATCTATAGTATCAATGTTAGATGGAATCCTTTTTGATAAGTTAGAGTATATTGCAAGAGAAATACGTCGCAATCAAAAACCCTTTGGTGATATTCAGGTATGAATTTATTATTCTGTCTCAATTTAAATGCTTTTTCGCCTTAACATCTTTATTTTTCAACAATCTATAGATTATAATAACGGGTGACTTTTATCAACTTCCTCCGGTATCGAAAACTGGTGAATGCAAGTTTTGCTTCCAAGTTGATTCTTGGCAACGAGTTGTTAAGCATTCACTACAATTGACGAGAATCTTTCGTCAAAGGGATGACGGTAACTACTACGCTCTTAAATAAGACCCTCTCCTTGGATATTTTTTTCTGATATTTATTGGGAATTTTAGAGTTGATTAGTATGTTGAATGAAATGAGACACGGTGGAAATCTGTCAAGTCAATCCATGGCTCTTATTAAAAGACTGCAAATAGCTCCGAAATATCCTCCTGATGGAATTCTGCCCACTGAACTGTAATTTTTTATGACAATGCTTTTTCCTCATTTTTGTTACAAAATGATAATTATAATCTATTTATTTATAGATATGCTCGTAATGACTCTGTCAATCGAGCCAATCAATCGCATCTCGCCAGAATCACACATAAAGCTCAAAAATATATAGCCGAAGATTATGCATTGCAAAACGACTCAGTACAACTACAAACCTTGAGAAAGAGTTGCCTAGCGTACGACACATTAGAAATAAAGCGCGATGCTCAGGTTATGCTTATAAAGAATCTAACCAAAGACTTGGTAAATGGAAGTCGTGGGATTGTAATCGGGTTTTATGATGTGCAGAAGAATTCATATTATTATAACGGGGAAGAAGAGAATTTGCCTCCACATACAGAACTGTATCCAATTGTGCGATTTACCAATGCAATCGAAAAGGTAATTTATAAAGAAGCATGGACACTAGAGGGTGTAGGAGGAATCGAATTGGCTAGGAGAACACAGGTAAAGGTTTTAACTTTACTTGTCGATAAAGTAAATTAATTTAATTTAATCTTGAATAATGTAATACGATAAGTAGATCCCCTTGGTACTTGCGTGGGCCATCAGTATCCACAAAAGCCAAGGGCAGACTTTGGAGAGGGTTAAAGTCGATTTGGGTCGGGTCTTTGAAAAAGGTATAATTTCATTCGGCTTTGTGAATGAGTTATATTAATTAATGCTCACATCTCAATTTCTTTTAACAGGCCAGGCCTATGTCGCTTTATCTCGGGCCACTTCTGCCGATTCACTACAAGTACTAAACTTCCGTCAAGATCTAGTAATGGCGCATAAAAAGGTCGCGGAATATTACACTTCTTTAACATCGCTTGTATGAATGGTATGATGTTAATCATTGGAAAAACTATACAATCAAAAAAAAATTATAGGAAATGCGTCATTTGTTTATTATATTCATCCATTATATAAGTTATTGATAAAATAGTTCTATAATAATTTTATAACGAGATCTTTTTGTAACAAGTAGCATCAAAAGAAAATTTTTAATTTGATTAATAATATATTGTTTCTTTCCATGTTACAATATTTTACACATATTGCTAATTTATTTAAATCATGACAGATATCAAAGTATAAGATTATTTAAAAGATTGAACATTGGTTCAATCCAAAAGCGACGATCCATTGGTAAAATTTCCTTGTGGTTGCTGAGAAGATTGTTGAGACGTTTGTGTCAAAGGTTGTTGATGATAAGCAGCATTTGTTTGTTGTGGAGGACGAGACGGAGGTGGTGGTGGTGGTGGTGGTTGGTAATACCCCAACCCTTGTGAGGTTTGTGGATAATATTGCTGCTGTTGTGGAATAGTATGTTGATTGTATTGAGATGTTTGTTGATAACTTGGCTGTGTTTGAACTTGAGGTGGAGGATTATTGAATCCTTGCGATATTTGATGCGTATTGTAATATTGATTCAATGGCGGTTGTTGCTGAAATGATGGGGGTTGTATGGAAGAATACTGTGGCTGATGCTGAGGAGGCCTTTGTGGTATCACCGAAGGTGGGGGTTGTTGCAATTGAGGATGGCTATTCTGAGACGGCAATGAAGAAATATTCATAGAAGAATGACCTTCATAAGTAGGCGGGCGTTGCATTGATTGAAACGGTTGTTGTAATACAGGTGTTTGATTATAACGTAAAGTAGTAGGTGAAGGTGGCTGTTGCTGTGGTTGGGATAAGGATGAAGGTTGTGATAATTGGACTCCGTATATACTAGAAGGCCTTGAAAGAGGATGTGGGGTAGATTTTTGAGATTCGGTTACTTCTTGCTGGGGAGACATTCCCATATGATTATATGAAAATTGAGGACGCTGATTTAAAGATTGTTGTGCTATTTGCTGCGGTGGTGGCTGATTTACAAAATGTGCTTGTGAAGGTTGTTGTCCATTTGGTACAGATGACGGCATAGGTGCTACTTGTTGAAAGTGAGACGACTGTGGCAGTGGTCCCGGTTGGAATAAGGGTTGTTGCTGTATTGGTTGATATGGATTATTATATCCACTTATTTGCTGCTGCGGTTGTTGTTGCTGCTGCGGTTGTTGCTGCCGCTGCTGCTGTTGCTGCTGCTGTTGTTGATAGCCGGTTGGCAATGGTGGAACAGGTGGTGGTGCTTGAAAACTAGAGGCAGTAGGGGTACTAGGGACACTAGGGACACTAGGGGCAGTAGGGGCAGTGGGTGAAATTGGTGTGTGATAAGTAAATTGCGAATTCGTGGGACTAATAGCAGTTAATGGAGGTTGGGATGATGATGAAGAAAGAGAAGATTGTCGAATGAGCGAGGTTGAATAATAATTAGATGGTGCACTCGGAGGTGGAGCATTTTGTTGAGGAATAGAAGTGGAAGGAGTAATATATGAGGACGCGTATTTATTAGTTTGAGTATTGTTCGAAGACGGAGTGTTACGAAAATAAGCCCCATCATTTGATTGATTATTTTGTTGAATTTGGGAATTAGTAGTTAGTGATAATGATTCTAAATTCATGTTTTTAGTTTGACCCATTGACCTTGAGTTAATACTATTGTTAATTGATAGACGTTTAGTCTCTTCCGCTAATTTTCCTATATCATCATAAGGATTAGGTTGTTTGCTAGAGTCTAAGGAGGCGGCAGTTGATGCTATTAATTGGTTCAATTGTTTGTTTGCTTTTTGCGACTCTTGATTTTCTATGTATTGGATCAATTCATTACGTTCTTCTTGACGTTTTTTTTCAAATTGATGTGCTGTCTTGGAAAGGTTTTCAATCAAATCCGAGAGATCAATGTAAAATTGAATTCCCTTTCTGTTTAGTCAATAGAAAACAGTTAATTTACGCCAAAATTATTACATGTGAATTTTACTATTCTTATACCTTATCCCTTCCTTTACTTCGAGATACGCATCTTTGGCTTTTTTGAATCTTTCAGAGACTTCTTTTCTTTTTCGATCAATTTGATCCCATCGATTTTGCAAAGCTCTCGCCTCATTACCCTCCATTAAGTTTTTGTAAAATCCAGTTAATTCTTGTAGAAGAGCCTGCTGATGGTGAATACTGGCTGTAATACGATGACGATATGGCGTGAACTTTTCGAGCTCAGTAGCAAATAATTGTGGTTCAATATTTTGAGTCTTTTTATTTAGTATAAGTAGATGTGATATATCATCTTGATGTGTCTATTGTCAACAGAAAGAAAAAAATCAGAATCGAGAATAACCTTCACTACATGAGAAAAAAACTGCATGATTGATTACCCTTTCTTTTAAATCACTTAACGTATCCATCCTTTCTTTTTTCAC